CCCCAAAACCCCAAAACCCCAAAACCCCTAACTTCCAATCTAAACAAATAATATTACTCAATGAAATGCTATTGATAAAAAAATTTCTTAAGTTTAAATGATTTATATTTAAAATTGATGTCGAATAACAGTAACCAAACATCCGATTAGAAATAATCTTAGGAGTCTCTGAGTAAAGAGAGTTCAAGTTCGTCGAGTTCCTCCTCATCATCAAGAACTTCTTCCATCTCAAAGGCTTCTATCACCTCACAATAAAAGAAAGTTGAAGAAAGAAAGCTAAAGCCTACTTTCTTATCTAAGAGACCTACTAAATTACACTCAAGAGATTCAAGAGATCACCTTAATCATAGTCACCATCATCACAATCCAATCCAGTCCAAGGATGATGACCTCCAAAGATTCAGCGAGGAAAATAGATTCCGAAATATCACTTAAGAGATTATAGCACCATTGTTATGAACTTAGAAACTCTAGGCTGCCGATGTTACTAAGCTTGCCAATGAAATTCTTCTTTTGCAGAGCAAGTTTAATGAGCAGTTGCAATTAAATTAAAGATTTTAAAAAGAGACAGAGTAAATATCACTAATTTAAAGCAGAATAAGCGACATTGAGGAATTAGTTCTAGTTGAATAAAGAAAAAGTAAAATTAACTTCGATGGATTAATGGAGAAATTCAAAGTTTACAACGATCGAGTCAACGATCTGCAAAAAGAATTTTAGGCCATTGACACATTGTTCTTAGCAAGAGACTCTAAGATAGACACTAATTTTCAGATAATGATGGATCATAAAGTGGAGGTGAGCACCTAGCTTATGAATTTCTAGTAGATATTGACTAATAAAACGGAAGAATTCGATTTCAGAATCAGAGATAATGATATGAGAATGAAGAGCATTGAGAATTTTTTCAAAAACAATAGGGAATTTCTGGATGATATCAATTAGAAACTAGCTAAACTTGAGTATTAAGCGGATAAACAATATGAGGAAGTGTCAGAATTTATGCAAAAAGACATTATATCTATTAAGCAATCAAATTAGAGAATAGAAGATTAAATTAGAGCTAATATGCTTAATTTCAATGACTTATATCAACAACTAGAATTAACTTAAGCGAGAGTAGAGCCATCATTTAAAAGTCTAGATACTATTCAGAATTTCATTGTCAATTCGCTTCCATTACTTATACACTTGCATGTCAGCGACAGTCTTTAAGAATTCTTAAACGTTTAAGACAGATTGAAACTAATCCAATTCGATAATAAGAAATTGCAGCAGTTAAGAGCATTTGTAGATAATTCATTTTTAAGCTAAACCAACTTAGTAACTTAGAGCGATAATTAAGCAAGCAAAGAGAGTATTGTATTGAGCGGAAATTTATCTGAGATTTAGGAGAATGAAAATGGAGATACAATTACGACTTAAGAGATCAAAGAAATTAAGGACAAGACTTACTTAGTCAAAAATCTGAATCAGAGACTTGATAATCTCTTAAAGTTTATGAGTGAAAAAGAAAAAGGCTGTCTAAGATTTGAATATGGCAAAGACTGGAAAAAGTAGATGACTGAAGAGTAAATAAATCATATAGATAGAAGCTATCAAATGATTCTTGACTAGAAGTATAATTATCTAGAGAAGACAAATAATATGATTAAGGAAAATGAGAGAATCATTAGGGAAAAGAAGCAAGAAGCTAAAAGACTTTTATAATAAAAGATAGATCTGGTGCATGATAGCCCGAACCGCAGAAATAGTATAATTAATGATTAAAGTTAGTCATCAATCAGACCTAACAATGAAATTGTTTTCTATAAGGAGTTGATTTTAGTAAGGACTACTACAAAGAGTATTATTCATAGAGAAACTCTGAATGCAAGAAGGTTAAAAAGCAGGTAAATAAAAAATAGAAACTAGTAGAAGATGATTTTAAATCAACTTCTCAAAGAGTAGGATGAGTTATAATCAGAAAAAGATTTCTCTGAAGACTCAAGTGGCGAGGATCCAAACAGCCCTAAAAAGCAAATTAGTAGAAGTCCTACCTCTGGCTAAGTGAGCAAATCGAGATAGCTATTGCAAAAGTAATTTACTGAGATAAAGCATCTCTTTGACCCTGAGGATAAAAAGTCAAGGCTTTAATCAAGAAAATAGAGTAGTCCATCAGGAAAGGGAATAATCTAGAAAAATAATCATAATCATTCAAGGGACTCTGAAACTGACCCTTAATCTTAGCTGAGTACATATGACTTGCCGTCACATGTGAAAGAACGAATGCAGATATTACTTTAACTAGGATTTAGACAAACCTAGCGACTTTAGAAAAAAATCAATAGGTTGGTCTAGATACACAAAGAGCAGTCAATAACTTAAAATCAATCACTGGAGAAGGGTATTAATAAAATGAAGAAAGTAAAATCCAAGTTTACAGATATGGTTGACTATCTAGATTCTAAGGTTAATGAATAGATTACTAAGTATAATAAGAACGTTGAGAATATCCAAGAAGAATTCTAGATTTTCAAAGATACTATCTAATCAGAGTACATAGATTTCTTTAAGAACAGAAAAAGGATAGCAACTGAGATATCGGTAATGACTAAATCTACGAATGAGAGATTAGATAACTTTTCAAATTTAATTGATAGATTTAGCTCTAATCATGAGACAGTAAACTAAATCATTCCTATTCTAATTGAAAGTCTCCACCTTTAAATTGCTGCATTTTTCAAAGATAATTAAGATAGAGAAACCTTAAGCATGAGTTTAAGACTTGGGGAGATAGCAAATGATGGCTATCTAATGGTTGACTAGGTTAAATAATCTAAAAATAACGGAATAAGAATTTCAAGCCAATCAAACAACTTCAATATGACTTCACCCATTACAATTGGTAAAAAAGACTTTATAAATGAGAATATCAATAGTCAAGTGATGCCTCAAATTTAATCGATTGATAAAATTGCTAGAATGACCCCAGATATTCCTATTGCAGAAAATTATCAAGGTTCACTTCACATGAAATCTACATCATATAGAAAAAATGAACTTAGCAGAATATAAGTGTTTAAGATTCAATAATCTTTCATTGAAAGACTAGAAAATCTTATACTTAATCAGTAAATCTTTGCTGATTCTGGATTGATCCCTAAAGTAATATTTGATGATTACTATCTAGACCTATTTGGGTAAATTTAGGCTAATATAAACAAAAGACCATAGACAACCATGTCAAATGGAAGAAAATAGGTACCTATATCTTAATCATTCCAAAATAACTCAATTAAGACTGCATAGCTCAATCCAGACTAATCAATGTCTGATATAGATAGAGATTCCAAAATGAAGTCAAGAAATACAGGGGTTCAAAATATGTCTAAATCTGTAGGAGTTTCAAATGCTAGGATTCATTAATCTAATGCAGCCACTAATACTTCAGCTGTTATATCAAGCAATCTGAACCCACAAAGAAAGTAAAATATACTAGATTGCATAGAGTAAAAAACTTAAAAAATTGTTGAACATGGTCTACGGAGAGATTCAATGATTTAAGAATTCCTTAATAGAACAATGGATGAAAATCAAAAAAGTAATACAAATGTTCTAGGAAACACTCAAACATCAATTGTTTATGACTTAAATTCTTTGGAGTCTTATGATATCAAACCCAATACTATTTTAATTGATAATGTGTCACCAATGAGCAGAGATAGGCATTCACCAACAAGGCTTCATCCAGTAATGAATTTAACTCAAACTGGATATAAACCAATGAAGAATAAATAGGTGGGTAGTGGGGTGAACTACAGCTACACAAGCAATGGAAGAGTTACTGAGATGGGCAAAAAAAGACCAATTACCCAGGAAAATTAATAAAACTCTGGAAATAAGAAAAATAACAATCTCAGTCAATCCCTCCATAATGGAATAGTTTTATAAAATAATTCAAGTAAACCTGGCACATCTTATATAAAGAGAAGGAATATTAATACTGTACTCTCTCACTTGGACTAGTCTGCCTCAAGAACATCCTCACTTCTTAATAACAATAATTCATTCAAGCCTTTGAATGATTTAACTCAATCCAAATCTAATTATAAGACAAATGTTCTTCTAGGAGCATAACATAAAATTTGAAAATCAATCGTAAAAGATTGATGAAAGATGAATCATATATCTCAATTTAATATTTGATTTCATAACTTTAAATTTCTATGATAGATTTGTTAATTTAGTATCATGGGGTTTTGGGGTTTTGGGGTTTTGGGG